CCCTTGTCTGGCCTCCCCTCACAACTATACACACATGGCATTCACACACACACACACACACACACACACACACACACACACACATAAAGATAAAAGCGATGCTTGATGTTTTTTGTTGATATTTGTATGACTATACAATGTTCTTGGCAAACAAATGCACCTATGTCAACATTTAGAGAAGCCATGGACCTTTATTACTAGATTTTGAATTTTAAAATGCCATTGATTTTGAAGACAGTTTTAAAGCTGGTTTAGATCATTTTAAAAAATGTAAAATTTATTTTAAAAAATTATTTATATGTGCTCTGTGTATGTGTGTGTGTTTGTGCATGTGGGTGCCCACGGAAACCAAAAGAGGGTGTGAGATGCCCTGAGGTTGTATGTACAAGCTGTTGTGAACCAGCAGATGTGAGTGCTGGAAGCTGAACACTGATTCTTTCTGAGAGCAGCAAGCTGCCTTAATGATGTCATCTCTCCAGCTCTCTTTGACTTTTTACATTGTTTGTGGTGTATGTGTGTGTGTGTACATGCCATAGTGCACTTGTACAGCCTAGAGGACAACTTGTGGGAGTTGATTCTCTCCTTCCATTGTGTAGGTCACTGGGATTGAACTCAAGTCACTAACCTTGGCAGTAAGCACCTTACCACTGAGCCATCTGACTAGCTGTGGTTTGGATCGTCCTGTTTCACCTTATGTAAATGACATAATCATACTGAGCCTCAGTTTATTATCTGCAAATGGAGAGTTAATACTGCACTATGGAATTATAGATATTAAATAATTTAAAGAATTTAATCATTATATGCATCGTAGGCCCTCTAAATGAAGTGTTTCCAACGTCCTTCCATAAAATGGCAATTTGGAAGTAGTCAGTGGGGGAGTGGAAGTGTCACAAGCCTCCAGTTCCAGGAAGTGACCGCAGAGGGATGAACAGGTCGGCGCTGAGAAATTTTGAACACTGATGATTTTTAGGACATTGGACACCATCTCAGGACTTCCAGTAGAGACTACCTAGTCAAAAAGCAGAGAGGGGTCTCCCTAATTTTGCTATGGCACCGACCTCTGTCTCCTATGTCTTTTAAAGGGCGTTAAGGACACCTTAATAGGAAGTACTTTATTTTCATTAGTGAGAATCTAAAAGTGAAACTTAAAATTTCTGCTTTTAATTGCACAAAAGTGTTCTGCACATCATGTTACTCCCTACCTGCTAAAATAATCTGTGAATAAAGAAGAAGACCCAGATTCCAGGTGCAGGCAGTCCCACCTTCTCCAAACATCCACTGTTAGATAAAGTGCAACCTTCTGACACCTGGAGCCCCAGCCCAGGGACGCGCACACAAACCCGAGGGAATAATAACAGCACTCAGCGGCAAGCAGCAGTCAGAGGTGCGAAATTCTAGCAGTCTTATCCAGAATATTCTTAACAACCCAGGGAAACTGGGAGTGGCAGGGAGTACTTGTTCTCTGGGAACGTGCGTGCAGAGCAGAGCTTTCTCCCAGACACTAGGAGGAAGAGCCACTGTCGCACGAGCTTTTTTGTAGAAAATACTTAAAGGAAGTAAATTTTTTCTCCTTTCCCCATTTCTTACTCTGCATCCACATGTCTTCCAACAGACAAATGGTTTCTTTCCAAACCATTCCAAATCCAAGTTCACCCATGGTGGATGTGGATTCTCAGCATCCTTCTACACTGTAGGAGAAAGGTCACCAATGGGTATCTGGGAGCTGCCTCTTCTACCTTAGAGCACTGGATTGCCCACACTTGGTTTCAGGGCCCCTTCTGGAATGGCCTCTCCCTAACTGATGCTTTTCTAATCTGCTCCAGACCCTGGCTGTTTTGAAACCTCTGTTACTGTCATCACTGAACAAATGATGAATGGAAACTTTGATGAAATTTCTAGTCCTCTGCCTTTCCCAAAGGGAGATAGGACCAGGCTGTTACGCTTTAAAGAGTGTTCCATTAGGCTCTGGCAGCTACTTGAACATTTCTTAGAATGCCTGCTGGCTGGGGGAGGAGAACAGGTAGCACAGTTCAAATTGAGCTGCTTCTTTCTGTAAGGATTCTTCAGAATCCTTATACGGTATGGCTTAGGAAACCATTTCAGCCTTGGTGTTGACGCCACAGAGGAACAAGGTCACTGTTCTAGCCCTTTTCAATTTTATGTTTTAAGAGAGGGAAAAAGTATAGTCCTACTGCAAACTCTCCTTTAGCACCAGGGAGCCACACAGGTTTTCTGGAATGGAGTATGGCAAAGATGAGGACTAGAGAATCCTATTTATTTAAATACCTATGCTGGATTTGGTCCTATCCTAGGTACACGGCTCCTTGTCCTGGTGATTTTGTTCTTAATGACAAGCCATTTTACCCAGGGGTATAAAGTCACTCTGGGAAGTTTTTTTTAAATTATTATTATTATTCCCCCGGGCTGGGTGCTGGCGGGGTTGCCTGCGGGCAGGGCAGCTCCCGGGGAGAGGCGCTCTGCTCTCGGAGGCGGGACCGGGTCGCTCCCCCCGCCCCGCACCTTGCTGTCACAGCCTCACCCCCGGGCTGGGTGCTGGCGGGGTTGCCTGCGGGCAGGGCAGCTCCCGGGGGAGAGGCGCTCTGCTCTCGGAGGCGGGACCGGGTCGCTCCCTCCGCCCCGCACCTTGCTGTCACAGCCTCGGCCCGGCAACTCAGTCGCCGCCGCATCTCCGCGGACAGCAGAGGCGCGAGCTGTGGCCCGGGCGGCGGAAAGGCTGCTGGCAGGAGGACCGAGAGGGAACCTGGCTAGGCGCCGCCCGCATCCCTGGGCGCAGCTGGTAGGTACCCTACAGACTGGGAGTCGTGTGAGGGTCACTAGTAAGAGGATGGAGGGAAAGGACGTGGGGAGTCGGGGAGATTGAACGAGCGAAAATGAGGTAAGTGCAACTTTCCTATTTTCCGCCCTGTTTGAACACGCTTTTGGGAAATTTAGAGCAGACATCCCTCTCGAGGCATCAGTCACATCCTTCCACCTGAAGCCCAGAGACTTTCCGAGCAGCCGGCGCCTCCTGGAGGTCTCTGCTCATCGGCTTTGTGTCCACCCGGCACTGAAAGTGGATGTTGGGGAAGTCTGTTTGTGAGTTGCCGAGCCGTTGCCTGTGGCGCCAGCAACGCCACGTCGTTCTTGGAAAGAGCTTTCCAAGCTCCAGGCGGCAGCAAGCGGCCATCCATCCGGAGCAGAGATCTGAGTTCCAGCCGGCTCTGCCTGAGTCCAGTTTAGCGGCTTGGCCCAGTCACTTATCCTACCGGTTTCCCTCCATTCTTTGAAGTATGCGGGTAGGAACCCGGTGGCCCCGAGGGTGGCCTGCAGCTATTATCACTGTCTACTGCTAGGACCCTGGCCAGGAGCGCAGGAGGGACTTCAGTGCCAGGTGGACGCGGTGGCTTCGAGGTACAAAAACCGGGATCTAGGTTCCTGCAGCATCCCTTTGTGAAGTTTCTGAAGGTGCCTTTCTGGGAAGGGTGACCAAGCCCTACTGGTCTCCAGAACCTCTCCAACTCAAGTGCGTTCCTAAGGTAGGCTGAGACAGCAGGGACCAGCGCCCCTCACAGCGTGAGCTCAGCTTAAGGGAGGCAGTTAAGGTAAAGGATGATCACAGGTAGTGTTAGCCCTGAGCCCTGCAACACTAGCAGGTGGAGGCTCAAGGTTGATGACCACTTAGACACATTTACCTTGACTGACCCAGGAAAACAACCGAAAGCGAACTGAACCGCCCTTGTCAAAGGCTGGATGCTGGAAAAATATTGGGTGAGAATTGCATTTCTGTCGGTGTACTTTACCTTCAAAATCCACCTATCCACTTCAACAAGATGCTTTCTTACTAACACATTTGAAAAAAATCTTCCTGGAATTTTAAATTCGGAAAGCAGAGAATTTGGGTTGTTAAAATGAGAACCGATGCAAAGGTGCTGGTGACCATTAGTAAGACAAACATTGCTAAAAAACTCTTTCCTGTGATTGTCAGCCCTACTCAGGGCCTTCCTAGTAAGACTGTCTTAAGACAGTTCATTTTCTAAAAAAGTGTTTTTCAAGTTTAACTGATTAAATTTTGAAGCAATGTCTAATTTTGGAAAAAAAATAAGAGTTTTTGAGTGAGTAATTTTTGTCTTTACCATAACTTTCTTCAGCAAGTATCACAGGGGAATATGGTTTACTAAATCCAGAATATTTTTTAAAATGTCAAATTTCATTCTTGTTAAAGGATTCTTTCCTCCTTTTTAGTCAATGTAAGTATATGTTTAAGTCAATGGTGGATCAATTCATTTTTTCTCATAATTCCTACAATTTTTAAAATTCCTATGCAGTTTGTATTACATAT